TAATTCCACATTCCTGGAAACAAAATCTTCTGTCACAGGGATACGTGGGGGGATAATAGATGCAGCTTCGTTGGGTATTAGCCTTGGGCTGACCTGACTACAGTTGGAACATTGTCAGTGTAATTATCACTGGGGATAACAAAGCCATCCATGACTAACTGCCTCTTTGTATCCACCTGTTACTGTCTAGCCTCCATTACCCTCCGACAATTAGCTTGTCCATCACCTTTTCCCATCTCTCAGTGTAGTAGAGGATGTGCCACATGGAAAAAGGGAAGCAGGAAAACGTGACTACCTGTTTCACTTTTACACAGTTATTGTAAAAAAAAAAAAAAGAAAACAAGCATTTCATTTGAGTTGCTGAACCTCTCTTTCCTTTTCAACATTTCTATTCCAAGAAGAAATGATTAGTACACAGAATTAATACAAATTAATCTACCATCTTACGTGCACATGGCCAGGGAAGACACAATGGTGCCGCAGGATGGATATTAACATCTGAGATAATCCATCTGCTTTCACTGAAGTAACGCTGCCTATTTCAAATGTTAACTCCTTCTCTCTTCAAATCTCAGTGGGATAAGAGAAGATCATTATCCCGGTAGCTGATGTAGAGAAAGTTTGTTGATGAAGATGGAAGTTCATTGAAAGTAGGACAAAAGTAATTAGATCCAGCTACTTTTCATCCACACCACATCAGCCTTGTTTCATACTGTAGCACATTTGAGATCCCTGTGACCATCCAATTTTAAATATGTGAATGAAAATGGCAAACATTTTCTATTCCTCTTGATCTCACCACCTTCATTAAAACTCCGAGTGCAATAATCTCCTCTTGTCACTGGAGCATTTAATATTTTATCACATGTGAAGCAAGAGTCGGAAGTGCATTATTAGATGCAGAACAAACAAAACTACAACAAATGAAATTCAATTCAATATCACTTGAGAAATCAAGACAAATATCATTTTAATGGCTTTCTTTTTCAGTCTAATCATCCCTGATAAAGTAATGTTTGTTTATTTACCAGTGAATTAAGCTTGCAGTTATTGGTTATGCACACTTTAATTAATAAGGCAGTACCAGGAATCTCTGCAGACGCTGAATTAGCTTCCCTCAAATAAAGGATGTGCTCCGGCTGTATAAATGTGTCATGAAAGTATTTAGCTTGGCTAAAATATTGCTTAATGTTCCCACTACAGTGAAAAGTGTGAAAGAGGTTTGACCTCTAAAACATAGTTGGCTGCTGAACTCTAATTTAAAAGAGTATATCGGGGGCACACACTCCCTCTTGGTCAGATCCCCAGAGATATTTTAGTATCTCCTTGGTCCATGTGGCTGATTATTAAACTAAGAAACAGGGGAATAATTCCTGCAATGCCTTATTGTCAGCACTCCCTTAATTCTCCCCCACTTTCTTAAACTTGTCAAAATCATAATTGGCAACTTGGAGAAATAGCATCTAATTAAGTGGAAAGTGGTTTTAAATAGTCTTGAATCTGGCTGGCCAATTCCAGTATGAGCTGCTGCCTCATTGGTTCTTAAAAGGACACGACAAATGCAAGCTTGAAAGTCAAGTCTCTGACTGGGTTAGAGAAGGAAAATCTAATATAATCTCTATTACATTAGAAACAATGGGAGATGACTGGGTGGAGAAAGTAAAGGATGGTGTCACTTCACTCTACTGCCCTATGGCCCTCTCTTTTTTGACTGAGGACATTATCTTTCCACTCACACACCGCCTTAAGCAGCTTCTCCGAGGTCAAAGGGTCAGAGAGCCAAAGAGATATACGCTGCTGCAGAGGTTGGCTGACCCTTTACAACCTGGAGGAATCCTGTTATTTTGACTGAAATATTCAGTTTTCCTTGAGAGGTATTTTTGCATTTCATGAAGAAAATATGTACGGTATATTATACAGGAAAGGCCAGATACTGATGTGTAAGAGCACCACTGAAATAAAAACAAACAAATTAAACCAATAAATTCTCATGCACTCTTTCGTTACTGGAGATGATCTCTGCTTGGATGGTGACAGTTGATGATACAGAGTAATGTTACTTTTGTCTGGATCTAAAAAAACTCCCTTATATTAAATTCAACATGCAATCTGGTCCCTTTATTAATGACAGACCCATCTGCTGACCTTCATTGCGATTGGCACCAGGTGTTTTCTGCTCCTCCACCTGCTTAATTATTCAGTTTCTGTTCAACCTGGGATCTCTCCGGGTCGACAATACCTGCAGCAGAGCACTCCCTGGGCGACCGTTTTGCCGGCAGTGACAGTATCTCAGTCATAAAACCGCTCTTCTGCTAGCATAATAAATGAGAATGCACATCCGCTGTGACACCATGTTTCAAACTGGGTTTTGGTGTGTGACTAATGTCCGACCAGAGAATAATATCACTGTTAATTGCATGCTGTAACAGCTCGGGGTTTGTGCGAAGAAAGGTCCTTTCTTTGAGAGGAGCTGCAGGGGATGCACACACTGATACTATATGGTTGTTATAACCCTGGAAGAGCACTCTGCACTCTACTGTGAATTCAGGCCAATTTCTCTTCATCTCTCAGTTCCATCTAAAAAGACCCAAGCTGCAAATATCTTTGCAGGCACACACTAACCATGCACTTCACAGACTGGCAACATAAAGCACGTTAAATTGTACACTATGAAACGAATCGGGCACAGTAAAGCATTTTTAAGCTCATACATATTTGGGCTTTGAATTGACAGTAACTGATCATTAAATCGAGATAGAGAACAGAACCTCTGTGTAGATTCAGTCAAGTGTGGAGTAGAAAGAGCAAGGTTGACCTCAACAGTGATCATCATAATAAAGTGCGCTAAA